GACAGAGAGGACATCAGGGGCCTAAGAAGGGCGAGAGGTTTGAAGGAAGTGAAGGAAGAGGCTTACAACAGAAGACCCAGAATGGAGCTAGCCAGACTGACCCTCCCAGGCCAGAACAGAGGCACTCAGATGCCTCCAGAAATCTTGGAACAACTGCAAGACATTTAATCTACATGCAAATGTATCCATTGGTATAAGCTTAATTCTTCAAACCAGTCACTTAAATTCTGGCTTGTTTGTAGGAAGGAACAGGGTTAGATCCCTGGCTGTAATCCTTCTGGCCTGTCAAAGACCTTGGTGACCACTCAACACTGATAAAAGAGCCAGAAGTGGAAAAAAAAAAAAGACACCACTAAGAACTTTGACATTTCGAATTCTGTATTTTCAATAAAAAGTGTGCATATGTAGGTATCAAAATTACAAGCAAGTACCAAATGTGGATATGTTGGAGATAAATTTTTAAATCTTCCGAATTTAAAATAAGCCAATGATTTTGTTACCAATAAAGCTGCATTAGAATAATTTCTAAATTCACACTGATTATAAATGTCACCCACATTATAAAACAAAATACGTGGTAATAGTAGTAAATAAAATGAAGACAGTGAAATTGGCAATTGTGTATATGAATAACAAGCATCTCTCTTTCTCTTTCTTTCTTTCTTTCCTTTCTTCTTTCTCTCTTTTTTTTTTTTTTTTTTTTTTTTTTGTCTTTTTCATTTTTATCGGTACCAGGGATCGAACTCACGACCGCCTGCTTGCAAGGCAGGTGCTTACGCCGCTGAGCTAAATCCCCAGCCCCTCTTTCTTTTTTTCGTACCAGGAATCAAACACAGGACCTTGCACTTACCAGTAGGTGCTGTGCTGTTGAGCTACATTCCCAACCCCAACAAGTGTGTTTCAAAGTCTTAAATTATGCACTATATTTTGAAGTTCTTACTCTATAAAAAGTTAAATTCAGGGCTGGGAATTTAGCTCAGCAGCGTAAGGGCCTACCTTGGAAGCACGCGGTCGTGATTTCAATCCCCAGAACTGATTAAAAAAAAAAAAAGGTAAACACAACTCTCAGGATCTGAGTACCGCAAATATACTTCCACTATGGGTAGTCTGTAGCTTCCTAAAGTTTATGGGTGTTTTGTTTTTACATCAATGGGGATTGAACCCAAAGCATCCTATATCCTAGGCAAGAACTCTACTACTGAGCCATATCCCTGACCCTTTTTGTTTTATTTTGAGGCAAAGTCTTGCTAAGTTTTCCTGGCAGCCTGCACTTTGGAACCCTCCTGCCTCAGCCTCCCAGGGAGCTTGAATTACAGGCATCCACCACCACGGCCAGCAAAATAATTTTATATTACTATTTATGGCAAACTAACCAGACAACAGATATAGGCATCTATCCACACCTATAATTCCAACCAATATAACCGTTGTCTTTTTAATTTTATTTATTTTTCAAGCCTGCTTAGGTGTTCAGGCTTCGCAGCGTTTGGAGTGGGCAGCTAAAGTTACCCTGAAGGCCTCTTCACCTGAAAAGCCAATCATTTAATGAAGTATTACAGCCTGGGTTCAAGCCAGTACTGTGTGCTTGGTACCCGATGTTGGGCCTCGCTCTCAGCTTTCCCACGATTCCACAGGAAGCAGCTGCGCTGTGTGTAGTCAACAGGGCTCCTTTGAGACCAAGATGGGGGTGCTGCACATCCATCTCCTAACCGTGCCAGGCCCCCTGCGTGCACTCAAACCACCACCATCAGTGTCATCAGCACGAGCTTTCTTATCCTGAAAAGATTAAGTGGGGACTCCCCATCACGCACAGGCAGAAGTTGCAGTCAGGGATCGAATAAGGTTCCCTGAATTTTCATCCAGCGCTGTTCCCACCCAGCCACAGCTGTTGCTGGCATTTGCCCCGGTTTTGAGGAATACATTTCTGAGAGCCGGATCCTGCGGTGTGTCCCGCAGCTTCTGCTCGGCTTCATCTCCGCTTTGCAGAGGGGCCCTAGGAGCTGGGTGTGATGCACAACGAAATCACATTCGAATGAAGTCTTGACGCCAGTTGGAGAAATTCCTTTTGTGTTCCATTAGCTTAATTATGACATAGTTAGACTCTGAGAAATCTCAGACCTGGGAACGTTTGCAGGCGAGGCGCGGGGCCTGGCAGGAGCTCTCAATCACATTCCTCCGTCAGGTGTGGAGCAGAGCACAGCCCGGGCACACAGGCGAGTTTTGTTTAGAATACCTCCAAAAGCCAGCCAAGTGGCAAATGTGGACATCTGTGCTAGACTGTGGCTGTCCTGTTTTTTCAGTCTAATCTGTCAAGATAACCATTTCCCCATTCTCTTAAACAAACACAGACTTCCTTGTTTAAACACTGTAACAGTTCTAACAGAACACACAGCTTTTAATCATTCTGTGTTAAGTACACTGGCAAGAGCCTGAGAAAAGAATCAAAACATCTTAAATGTAAACTGGCTGATGTTGCTACTTTGCAAATCCCAGGAAGCAAAAGAAAGAAATCTGAAATTCCAGATAAAAGGCACACATTACAGAAAAATATTACGCGGAGACGTTAAGTTCTAATTGAATTAGAAATGCAGCTATGAACCTAGTTCCGTTTCTAATGAAGAAAGGAACGAAACGTGGTCATATTTCAATTTTTTCTCTGCAAACAGCTTTAGGCTTTGCAAATTTAAGTTCCAACTGTGTTGTATATATTTGTGAAGGCAGCAGTGAGGGGGAGCAGCAGGAGCAAACTCAGGGAAGCTATTTAAACCCGCAAGCCTGCCTTGCAGGGGTTAACTCCTCCGGAAAGCCTTGGAGCATAACTCCCTGTCTCGGGGCAGTGAGTTTCCTCTGAGTGAGGAGGTGTGCTGGGTCATTTCCTAATATTTGAGAACAAAAACGCGAAAGGTGGGGGACCTTTTGCGGTGGGATGAGCAGGAATACTGACAGTGCTGATGGGGGCCCCGTACCCCTCTGCCGCCTGCTCGCAATTTCACTTGCAAAACAGTCAAACTCACCCTGAAACAGGAAGTTAAAACTTAAATAAAACCTGCTATGTTTTCTGCTGAGGGAAAATTAAATAATACAGACTCTACCTCATCCACCTGGAGCGCAGCTCAAGCACAGACTTTGAGATCTAACAAACTTGGGGGTCACGGCCTGGTCCTATGATTTAATCGGGTGATTTTAACAGAAGTCAGTACACTTTTCCGAGCCTTCATCTCCTTAGCTGGGAAATAGGGATAAAAACCTCCAAGAAATTCTTGCGAAGATTAAAGACGTATTTGCAAAGGTGAATGCTTTATAAAGTTAGCACGTATTAAATCTGTAGGACCTCTCATAACTGGATAACGTACAAGTTAGGTGAACAGACTCTAGATATAGTATGGACTATCAACTTCACGCAGTTAGAAATTACCACAACATAACATTGAAACACTAAACCTGTGTGTAAGCTACAAATGCTCTGAGTGTCAATCACAGTAAAGTCCTTAGAAATAAGTATCCCGAATTTACAGTTTTTGTGATTATCCCAGTGCAGCCGGCCAGGCCAGACTGGGTACAGTTCCAGGGACTTCAGCCTGCAGGTGCTGGCACTGAGCTCCTTGTGCACTATCCTCTAACCCACAAGTGGCTTGGGGTCAGTAGTAAATCCGGGCTGATTGACCAGCAAACTCTTCCCCTCAAATGACAAAGTCAAGGTTGAAGACAGCAGAGGCCCCGAAGACCTTAGGCACTGAGTCTTCCCAATGGCAAAGTTCTGAGTCTTCCCAATGGCAAAGTTCTGAGTCTTCCCAATGGCAAAGTTCTGAGCTGATAGCAGCAGAAGCTGTGATGCGGCTGTCAAGGAAGCCAGGCTGTCAGAGGAAGGCAGTCTGTGCCCTGAAGTTGGGCTTGGATGCTAAGTGTGATTGTTTTGCACTCATTTTTAATGCCTCCTGGATATCTACATAAAATATCCTCATTAAAATAGCCTGAGTGTGGATCAGTGGTGTTGAAACCTGAAAGAGGCAAGCAGCATCATTGTATTTTTAGTGATTTTAAAGGCGTGGAAAGATCTCAAAACACTTGGAGGTTTATTTATATCAGCTCCCATCTGAGCACAGACAGTTCCCCACTTCCTCCGGAGATGTCACAGACCAATTCTCACAGCCGCTAGGAAATGGTAGATGTTGACATTGGCTAGGGTCTCTTGGAATCAACCAATATATTTTACTTAAATGAATATTTAAGAAGCAACTATATGAAGGCACATTCTTTAAGTAACCTAGAGATTGAATATGATAAATGGTTTAGGGATGAAGCACAGCGCTCTGATGGGTGTTACAGGCTTTTGGAGGGAGAAGCGTGCTAGGACACAGGAGAGCTGTGGGAGGATGCAGCTCTAATGCCTTGAGTCCCAAACTGAATTTCCGCAGGAAAGGTGGAGCCCGAGTAGGAAGCAAGAAAGAGCCGGCCAGAGAACAGTGAGTACCTTTCAGAGAGCTGAGCTCACTGATTGGCCGGTGTACAGACAACTCACAGCAAGAGACGAAGACCGGAGAAAGTTTGGGCCCAGTAAATGAAGGATCTGAAATGTCAGGCTGAAGAATTCAGAATTTATTTACTAGGTAATGGAGTCTGTTGAGGTTTTCGAGCAGAGAATGATATAATCAGCTGAGCTGGAGTCTGACACATCCTTCTACACTCGAATAACTTTTCTGTAAAATACAACTTTATCAAAATATCTTTATGAATAAAATAGCAAAACCTATAAAATATGAACAAGCAATAGAAACACAGTAAAAACAAAAGATGTAAATGGTATAACATCCGGACAAGTGGATAAAGCCTTATCCAAAAAAGATGTCATAAAATGCCTGCTCGCCAAGCTGAAGGCCTTGAGTTCAATTCCCAGTATTAAAAAAAAAGAAAGCAAACAAACAAAAAAGCAAAATGTCAGTTTCCTCTTCTAATAATCACCTGATGTCGATTCCTACAAACAGTATTCTATTCTTTATAGAACGTGGGACAGACTAATATTAACCATTGTGTTCTTTCCTGAGGCTGCAGCATCGAGAGGGCAGAAAGAAAACAAGGTAAGACTACACTGACACTACAATTTTCACCATAATTACTGCCATACAAGTTGGTATTGTGTTTTGGTGAGCAATTTGGCAAGTGTGTTAAGAGCTATGAAATGTTTATTTGACTCATAATGCCTGCTCCTGGATCTCCAGCCTTGAGATGGTTTTGAAATGAAGAAAAAGTGATACAAATTAATATAATTCAACTACTATATAGTAACTTACAATGTATAGTACTATGATCACATATTAGACAGTAATACAATAGTACAGTGTTACTTATATTTGTAAAAACTATATAAAAACTTAAATTTTTAAAAAAGGAGGAATTCCCAAACAAAGGATGAGCCATCCATTTTGTGAATTGTAACTGTTAAAAATCATATTATGGGGGGCAGGTAGGAAATCCAGCAAATATGCCACCAATTACACACTATATAAGTATAAATTCCTAGGAAAGACTAGATGGCAACGCACCAGTAAAAACAACAGTACTAATTGCATTGAGATAATTTTGTTAAGGGGACGGAATTTTTCTATGTTTTGTTTTCCAACATACTATTATGTAATTGTACGTATCAAAGAGTAAAGAAAACAAGATTAAAAGTAGATCTTTGAAAAGAAGTTACTAATACTTTGAAGAAAACTCATGAAGAAAGAAGCAAGTGGCCCAAGTCTCTTTCCTGAGGGCCCCCAGGTTGTCAGGGTGCAGTGGCTGATCTCAGAAGAGCTTGTACTGCCAAAGCCAAAACACGGCTGAAAACTGAGCTTCGCCACAGTTCTGTGTGACTGTGTAATCAGAAGAAGACACAGAGGAGCGAGGTGCACTATGACTCTCCAGTGAGTGTTAACCCTAGGAGGTCAGTCATCAAACTCCATCCTACAGATTCCTGATGTCTGCGTACTCGTGGCTTCACCCTTTTCTTTCTTTGGGAATGAGAAATAAGCAATTGATCATAGAATACATAATGAAATCAATTATCAGTTAATAATTAGCCCTATAGATTTAGACACAGAAATTTCTTTTTTAAGTGAACCAGTGAAAATTAAATGTTTTCTGATCAATCCAGTGATCAGCTGAGATAATGCTTTCTTAAATGCCCTGTCAGTGGTGTATATAATTATTGGTTACAGATAGTCTTCTCAGATCTCATTTATAGATTTATTCACAGTTCTACAATATGTGCAGCAATTAAAAGAATAAAAAAGCATCACTGTGTAAAATATAGCATTTTATTCTTTCACGAGGAGCTACATTTTACCCAATAATTAATGTTCCATGTCTTGGTTACTTTTCTCCTGTTGCTGGGACAAAAAAAACCAACACCCAAAATTAAGGAAGGAAAGGTTTATTTGTAGCTCACTGTTTGTGGAGGTTTCAGTCAGTTTGCCTCCAAAGCAGGGTCACATGGCACTGGGGTATCACTTCAAGGAAACAGCCATCAGGAGCAGCAAGGGATGGCAAGCGTCTTTTTCCTCCCTTACATTGTAAGCAGGTTACCTGTCCTGGGGCAGGTGTAACACTCACAACCATCTCCTTGCCCTCCTCTTGCACAAAATGTGTATGTTTACAGAGTGAGGACCCTGGCCCCCCGCTGAGTCACTTAAACTTCTAAACTTCTCAAATTGACACAATGTGTCAACCATTATACTCTGTTTGTCCTGAAAAGCAAAAGTCTGAGTTAAAGGCTAGTACTGAACATTTTAGCTTTTTGGACTTTAATTATTTACATGATATTCTTATCCTTAATTTAAATTAGATATTGAACTGTGCAACTGCTATGCACATTCATGATACAGAAACAATTATTCATCCTGAGCATACAGGATTCATCCTGAGCTTACAGGATTCATTCTGAGCATATAGAAACAAAAATCCATCATTTTTCTGTGGCCTCTTCCAGTGGTAGCTGCTGCTCAGACCTGGTCCCAAAGGCTGGAGTTATTTTTCTGAGTGTGCAAACACTTCTAACCCTGCCTCCCTTGACTAGTGTGAGGGAGCTATAGAGAAACAATGCAGAGTCTCAGCAGTATTTCACACTTCATTCCACACAAGAGGCAGAGGTAAAAATGGGGAAAATTAGGCGGACAGCCATGTGTGGCCAAAGAAAGGCTTTTGTTCTGCAGAGGCTGATTCCCTTGACACAAACAGAAGAAAGGCTCGTGAATGAGATCATGTCAGCTTCCTCTCCTTACGTAGCAATGCTGGCCTTCTTTGCTTTCGGAAAAGCAAGTCACCCATGCTCCAGAGTTCAGGGCCGCATTGTAAGATGTTTCTGAACTTCTGGTGACAGCATCCTGACATAGGGCCAGGGGACAGGACCAGGCTGGCTTTTCCAGGCCTGTCCGGAGAGCCCTTGCGAGTCACCAAGCCCACTCCATGCCCCTGTAATCCAGGCCTCTGATTAGGCAAATCAGCAAATTTCTGCAAACATGTGCTGAAAGCCTGGGCTTGCAGTTTAAAGGAGACGATTTCCTTTAAGAATCTCGAGATAGTGTCGAGTTGATTCGGAGCTTGGTAATACACTTTTCCATGTCAAAGGGAAGTGATTCTGGTTTTTGGCTCTGTTCATCGTCACACAGAGCTAGAGTCAGTAAAATGATTCCACAGATGAACTCTAGGGAAAAAGAATTTTTAAATTATATTTTAATCCATGGATTAGTGCATTAGATTTCATTGAGAATTCTTTTTCTCAGTAAATTATTTTTGCTCTCCAGGAGGGATTCTCGTTAAAGAATATGACATCAATTCCCAGAGTCAACTTTAACTCACAGTAGGTTGGAAAGTATAAAAGATCACAGTATTTTATATAAGATTCTTTAATCAGACACTGACATTATGCAAATGTTTTATGGAAAATCAGTCTCTAATTGAACAATAAATAGTCATATGTTGGTATGTAAATTCTACATTCAGGTGTGTAGACATGTCTTCATTTTAATTTCTTTGGCAGTGGTTGCATATCTAAATTTTTATATGTCTCTACTTAAAGAAAAGACTCTGAAGCAGGTTTTCCCTGGAAACCAGTGCACCAAGGCAGAAGTTTTAGTACAGCAATGAGGTGTCATTCCAACAGCACCCCCCCCCCTCCAAATAAGTTTCCCAGGAGGTCAGGTTTCTCTACAGGGAGGATTTTGAAAACAAAGTTATCTCCCACCAGGTATAAGCAGACCCACAAAACACTGGATACTCTGTTAACCAGGCCACAAATAGCCAAATCCCCAAACTAACTGGGATTGTGGGAGCCCTGACTTCTGGCCATCACACATGGCTCCTTGCCTGATGAATAGGGCCACTGCACACTTCTGCCTTCATCAGTTATGTTTTTTTCAAGAGTAAGTTGTGTTTGCCCCCTAATTTGTTTACAGAAGCTGCTTTTGTTATTATAATGTTTAAAGGATTTAAAACGAACAGATAAAATAAAAGTGAAAGAAAAGATTTGCATTTTCTCTGAAAGAGATGGACTTTTTTAATGTCACTATATTAGCTGTGGGTGAAACAATTGTAAGTGATTCATAGGACAGCACAAAAAGCTAAGAGCAGTGTTTTCTCAGATGGCTTCAAAAGTTTAAATTCCTGCTCCACATAAAAAGAAACTCAAACCAAAGAAACCAAAAGCTGAGATAATTATGCAAAAAGAAAGAAAGAAAGAAAGAAAGAAAGAAAGAAAGAAAGAAAGAAAGAAAGAAAGAAAACAAATTGACCAGAGGATATTATAGGGTTAGGGTTATTTGCTGTAAGATAAAATAAAACCCTTAATATTTATATGGTTTAAGTTAAAATGTTTAAGATATGTATGCGTCATCACTCATGGTTCCATTTTAATTAAGTTTTCATTGTTACCCCACAGACAACCATCCTGATTATTCTGAGTAGGATGAAGTATGGAGCTCCTTGGGGAGAATGAGCTAAGAAAGCAGACCCACGGTTCAGGAAGCTAAATCAGTCACAGTAAGAGCGTGAACCCGAGCCACGAGGACAACAGGAAATTCGGAGGTACACACGAAGAAAAATCGAAGAGTCCACATAAAAGCTTCCTGCGTGTTTGAATGAAGCGAACCGTTTGAGTGGAGTGGGAGGAGCACTTGGGGAACCCGCAGGAGTGCAGAAAAACAGGCAAATTTAGTTTAATGAAGGGAAAGAAACTTGGGTTTTTGGTTATCAACTATAGACTAAAATACAACTGCGTAAGGATATCTTGAGGTTATTAGGAAGTACTTCGAATATAAGCCCAAAACTTAGGAGAAAATTAGATGATAGCATGTTTGAAAGCAACAACATAAATAATGGCAGTTAAAATCCTGAGGATGGAAGAAATCTGTAGGAAATCAAAAGAGAAAAGTAACCGAGGGGGGAGAGGGTTCTGTGTGAGTGCCAAGGTGTAAGAAGCCCCACAGAGGAGAAAGAAGCTTCGGTAAATAAAGATGAGAGTTACAGTTGTGTCAGGAAGTCAAGGGAACAGAGAGCTGGGAGGTAACAGATGGTCAGGGACGCAGGTACCAGGGAAGTGTCATTTAATCTGTCACTCACCAGGCTCCAGTCAAGGAGACACATACATTACGAAGAGGAGGGGACACTCCAGATTCGCAAATGCTGAGGCCTGGGTGTGGAGGGGAAGAAGAGGAAGAGCAACAGAAACCCAAGAAGTTTGGTGGAGGAGAGGAGGAAGCACGGAAACACTCTTGCTTTGATGGTGAAAAGTTTGCGTGACTGTGATTTTTTTTGGTGCCGGGGATCATGATTGTGATGGTTTAGGGCAGGGTAATGAAAGCCTGAGATAAGCAAACTCCTGTGAGAGGGAAGATAGTGTGGCTAAAAAAACAGAAGAGGATAAAGACCCCAAGGAGACAAAGAAGCAAGAGAACGAGAAAGAGAAAACTTGGCAACAAGGAAACGACCTTCTGTGTAAGTCAGCTTTCTATCAAAAAGACGAAATATATGAAATAAGTCAAACTGAAGGGAAGACAGGTTAGACTTGGCTCATGGTGTCAGAGGGGTTAGTCCATGGTGTCTTGATCCATTCCTCTGAGCCTATGCAGGACATTACCACTTGGTGGGAGTGTGCGGTGGCAGAAGTTGCTCACTTCATAATGTCTGAGAAGCAAAGAGAGACAGACAGACAGAGAGAGACAGACAAACAGACAGAGAGAGAGAGGTCCCAGTGTTATAGGCAGCTGAGTTAGAAGTATTATAGGCCATCAGACAAGGCTGGGCCCTCAAAGGAGCCAGTGCAGAAGATCAGATACCTTGCAACTGCAGGGAAGACAGACACCTGCTCAGTGGGCCAGACCTCAAGACTAAAGACAAATCAAACTTTGCACCCACAAACTTCCTAAGGGTATTCAATAGGAATTGATATTCTAAATAGGTCTCTATCATCCTGAGGAAGCTAAGAGTCACTAACTCAAGCCCTTATAGGAAGAGTTACTGCTCTTTAAGCATGCGTGTTTGTTATGTCACTCTCCTCCCCATTTGTCCTCGATTTAATCAGCTTTGCTTGAGCAATTAATCTCATTGGTCAGTCATAGTTCTGTCCCACCTCAGCCCACATTGTGAGTTCCCATGTTATCTTCACCTTAGAACTGCCTCACTTTGTGGTTTTACTCTATAAAAGTTCTTAGAAAAGACAATCTTTAGTAACTCCTTTGGAACTCCTGCCTCTCTCTCAGACAGAAGCTTTCTTTCTCTCAATAAATACATTCTGCTGTTAAATTCCGTTGTTCCTAAAATTCATTCTTCAATTTTAGAGACTACAAACTCAAACCAGATATCAAGTAGATTGGGAGTTTCTTGACCCCATGACCTACCTCCCCAACACTAGGCTCCACGTTAGTTTCCCACAGCACCATGTGCCAGGAGCAAAACTTTAATACGTGGACCTTTGAGGAGCATCCCAGATCCAAACTGTAACAATGCCTTCTTAAGACAGAAATGAGGAGAGAAGGGAAGGAAGTAAATGTTCATGGCCACCAGCTTTTATTTTCTTAGAAAAATCTTCTCACACTATGGCCAACTCAACATTTAGTGAATAAAAGTGTCAAAAGTTATCTGTTGTCTGTGATTATTAAGGACAGGATTGGAGATTGAATGGATGCGTGATGTTACCACGTGAACAGCTGATTAGTACACGCAGTGAAATAGTACTCAGTGCCACTTAAAGAAAGCACAATAAAAAGATTTGCTATTGATTTTTTTTTTCAAGGTGGGTAAACATTATGTAGGCAATCATTGTTATAGGTAAGATCCGGAAGATTAGATTCAACATTTCTGGTTTGTCTTCTGGCTTCTAGTTTGGTTGAGTAGTACAGATACCCGCGGGCCCACTTTTCACGGGGACAAAAGTGTTGCAGCGTGGCACAGGTGATGGAACGGTCACTTTGGGACTCCACTTCTCTGGTAATTTGTCCTAGTTATCACAGCATTGACTGGAGACCATCTGCACACACGTTTCCTTACTGAGGGCTGGTGCTTTTTCATGAAGCCTCACCGAGGTACTTGAGTATTTGCTTTTGAAAAGTAAAGCTCCTCCTTACCCATTCACAGTCACTTAAAAGGAGCCAGATATAAGCACAAAACAGTTGAACTTGTTTTCTTTTTAGAAACCCTAAACAGCCAAAGAATTTGAAATTAAATGCGATAGGATTCAGCCTTTACTAGATTATTTCAATTTTATGCTAAAACGTGGCAATTTTATTGAGCAAACTTGCAAGTTAAAAGATACACTGTTTCCTTTGTAAGTAGAAGCTTGCCCACATTGGTTTTACAAAAACAGGTGGAAGGTAAATGCAGACTTGGAAGGATGTGAGGGTGCCATGCTGCTCTCTCCCTGGTTATCTCATCTCTCCCATGAAGCTGCCTCCCTCCCAGACAGCCTTATTTAAATTCCACTCATGAGGCCCCTGTAGTTTTATGAATCACTTTTAAGACAAGAATAATCCCGAGGGAGATTATTGTTAACACCTTATAAATTGGCATATAAAATTAGTCAGCCTATTAGCAAGAGCGTCTAGAACCAGAGCAACAATTAAGAACAGAAAGGCCACTAATCTAGAGTCTAGATAGACTGAGGAGGGGTGCAGACATGGGTACAGGCAGCCCAAGGTGGACAGTCCGGGGCAGGTGCCCTAGGCTCTTTCCCTGGAACAGGTGCAGAAGTCATTACACAGGCCAGAGAGGGGACCCTTGCTTCCCCTAGCTGACCAAGGGAGCCAGAGGGCTGCAGACAGGGCCCATTCCAAACAAACGTGGTTAATAGTGTCACCCAGTGACCCCACAGCGATTCGTTCCCTCCTTGGGCAGCACCCAGCTGTAAGACTCGGAGGAGTACAACCCCAGGTGGGCAATTAGGCCGATGACACTTGAAACTTCTGACAGCCAGATTCTTTGATACTATAAACTATTGCTGCTAGTGTTGTTCACGCTTAAGCTTAGGATTTCAAAGTTTTTGTCAGATAAGACTCTCTTACAATAAATTTTTTGATTATTAAAACGCATATTCTTTTTAGCCTTTCTGACTCCCTTTCTGGATTTCTTGATGTTATTTTGAGCTGGGAGAGGGAGTGGAAAAGAGAAATTAGTATTTGTTGAGCAAATGTTACACACTTTAAAAGTGTCTACCTGCCTGCCTTCTCTTTAACAGCACTTTGGTTTTTTTACTCACCTTTTATAGAAGGAGAATGGATCTCAGTCAGGTTCAATAACTTCCTTCAACTTCTTGTAACAGACATAGAATCAGAAGACATAAACTCAACATCTAAGCAGATTTATTTTGTATACGAAATCTCAGAGTATTATGTCCTGTCTCAGATTTTGAGCTTAAAATACATATTTTTCAATGGAGTCCGTCAAATCACTCCACATTCCATGGTAAAGATCGTAAGTTTTAGGTGTTGCCCATGGTCCAAGGACATTCCTGATGTGAGTGTAGTCCCTGCTAAGAAACTTTCATCAAACAAGGAAGTTTTTAAGCCTTTTCTATTCATAGAAAAAAATTCCATCAACTTGAATCATGATAAATTATCAAAGAATTCGAAGTGCCAGATGTTTACATACAGTTCTGTTTGCTTCATAAGTCAAAGATTCAAAACCAAAAATGTAAAGAGGTCCTTAAGAAAGGAACGTGATACTCTAAAACGTTCCCTGTATGACTAATGTTGCATATGTAAATAGAGTGCTTGAAAAACTAATGATTCTGGAATAGTTAAAAAAAATCTTCTGCATGTCACCATTGCAAAACTTTAACTTTGGTATTTAATTTAAATTCCTTGAAATATAATAATAGACTCGCTGCAATTGTACAATCATTTAAAAAGATCTTATTCTCTGCTACAGAGCAAACTAACAAAGCAGCCCATTTGTTGGCTCAAGTTAGCGTGAAAGGGAGAAACGGTAGATTATATTACACACAATTTGAAAATCATTTCTAAGTTATCTAAAGGAAAAAAACCAAAAGCAAAAACCGATACTCACGAAACTGGTTGACTGTTTTCTATACAAGATTTGCATACATCTCCAAGTGTAGAATTCTGCTTTCCTACAAGAAACAAATGGAAATGAACTACAGGTTAGTCAAGGTTTTAACTGTTCTTCACTAAGAATTGCTGGCAGTATTGGGCCTCCTACCTTGCTTTTGTTTTTGGATGCTGTCCCATTCTGGGACCACACAGAAGCCGGGGCCCTTTGGCCTCCAGCTGTGACCATCAGCCCAGACCACCAAATGCAGTCTAGTTCTATCTGGCCTTCTAATCATTCATTACATATGCTGAATCTATAGATTTAGAAAGCGAGAAAGCATAGAATCTGTCTAATTCCCCAAACTAAAAACAAGGAGCATTGAGTTCCAAGAGCTTTGATCCTCTTTAGGCATTAACCGATCTTTTCTGCAAAGGCTGATTCCAGAGGAACCCTTGAGTTGGGAAGTGCACACCAAATATTTAAAAATTCTTCAAATTAAGTGCTACTGTTCTATCACAGTTTTTGACTTAGTATCTTGAGAAATTCTTTTCCATGGATATAGATCTGATTTTATAATAGGCATCAACAGGGAAATGGGATTTGCTTTGCTGAAATTCATTTTATAGACAAATTTGCTAGCATGCATCTATTTCATAAGAGTGAGAGATGAATTTATTTATGTTCCTATCTATCATCTCTGTCTGTGTCTGCCTCACTGGGGCTTCTTTCCTGCAGAATCTGACAGGAGAAAATTAACTCAGAGGAGAATGTGGTTAATTCAACAAATACAATAGACCTTGTTTGAGAGAGCTCAATATAACATTTGTAACTGTCTTGCAGAACTCTTTACACAGAATGTATTGTAAATTACCTCCCATCCCAATCTTTGCTCTCCCCAAAAATGAAACTAACTAATGAAGAAAATATTATGCTCAATGTGCCATTCCTGTGCTTATTTACAGACTATGAAATAAAGATTTGGCCGTGTTATTTGATTTTTTTCCAAGATAACAAAGTGTAGCAATAATTTTAAAGCCAAGATTCTTTCATAACTTCTAACCTCAACTCCCACTTTTTCCACCCACTAAACCACATTGTCATTCTTGTTTCGTTTGGCAACATACCAGATACATTTTCTTCTTACATAGATTTTCCTTTCTTTGTAGTGAATTTCTTTTCTCACATGTACATGCAGACATAGCTTAGTGAACACTATATTCTCAAACCCCAGCTCCCTCTTCATTGTCTCTAAATTCTCTGATTAAAAATAAAATGCTGATCCAGATTAATTTCAGGTCAAAGCTGACTTTGAGCAAAATTGCCAAGTTGAAACTCTGTGTGTGGTGGGAAGAGACAGGGAGAAATAAGGACCAGACAGTACAGGTCTGTAAGTAGGACCCCCCAGTCCTCTTCAAAAACTGGAAGACCTGAAGCTCCAGTCATTCGTTTGAGCTTCAGATTATTCACTTTCCTAACTAATCAATAATTGTTATAATTAAAATTGATAGCTGCAAATAACATGACAGAGGGCTGCTGCCAGAACACTGATTGTGTCTTTGGCTTGGAAAGATAGGCAGCCGCGTGGAACACTTATTTTCCAATTTGCTTTTAGCTGTGTGCAAATTGCTTTAGCTGTATCCAGCTGATTTAGACCTTGCCTGGAGGTGCACTAGATTAATTGGGAGCCACACATTCATTGCTTACAGAATGGACTCTATAATTGGTGAAATTTGTTAGTGCCAGTTATAAAATAACTATATAGTGCTGCGTTTAACAGTCCCTTCATTACTCTTTCCATGAGAGGGGAAGGAGCAATTAGAACCCATCTGATGATTAAGGAAGGATTTTTACATAAGGACTCAGAGGGATATGTCTGCCATCAATATTTTATATAAACAAACACTAGTGTGAATATGTTATTGATTTTTTCAAAAACTGAAAAAGTGCTTGAGCATATATGAGAATTTTTCCTTCTTTGTTGCTATTGAATCTTAGACAAGAGAGCTCACTTTGTTAGAACTACACGCAAATTTTTCAAAATGATTCTTTGGTCTCTCTCCTAACTTTGCTAAGTTATATAAAATAAGTACTCTTTCTTATTTAGTGCAAAGGAA